GGGATAAACCACTATCGTATTACATAACTGTAGGCTGAGGCCATGGGGTTAAAGCTCAAACGCCCATTTTACCATCTTACCATCATCTTTGTTGTTAGTTAAATATTAATGCCCGTTAGAAGCACTATTAAATGAACACCACAGTCAGGACAGTGAGGCTTGTTTTTTAACCCTCTACATAGCAGTGAGAAGAATTGGCTCATCCCTGTACATTTCCCTTGTGTTATAGAAATGTGTTTTATCGTCAATGCTTTTGTAATACCATTATTGACAATGTATTAACTTTCCTATCTAAATAGAAGAATTGCTGCTCCAGAAGAAATGCATATTTCGTCATCTCAAAGTGTGTGTCTTGCTTTACATATTCCCTAGGTAGATGCAGAAAATGGGGAAAAGGCGTAGCTATCTTCGTGTTAGCACAAAAAATGCTGAGACTTTTCGTGACCGGAAATCTCAATTTCTGTGATGGTTCCAGATTTTAGATAATTTTTAGACACAGGAATTAAAGTATCAAAGCGCCTACTCAAAAATGCATTTTTTTTCACTACAAATCTGATTTATTATAATAGAGACGGCAATGTGTATTACCACCACACGTGTCCATGAAATTTCTTCGACCGTTTTATAGCATAATCTCGAAAAATTTTGTCTCAGTTTCCACTCAACTCCTATTTCGATAAGCCAGATTTGCTTCTAGTTTCTTCTTTATTAGCTCACAAAAGTTGATGCAGCTGGTGGGCGAGATGTAGAAGATTATAAACACTTTACTATTTGACGGAATATTCCTAGTTATATATGTATTCTGCTTAATATTTAATAGGAACAGTTTTAGTGCTATAAGACTTCCCTAAAGACGAGGGAAGACATTTCACTCGAGCTGAAGTACAATGACCGCCTAACCAATTTTTGTGCAATAGAAACGAGAGGTCAAAAAACCGGTGTATTGAAAAATATCATGCTGCTCCCTGTGCCTCTTTCTTGGGAAATATTTGGTTCTACAAATCCCAAATGTTAGTACCTCTAAATGCAGTCCCA